GGGTTGATGCTTCCCCGTCAGTTATGTGACACTGAGAATCCTCCCTTGGGGAGGTCACTTGTTGCAGTGAAAGCACAGACGGGAGAGCATCCTGATAATCCTCAAAAAATGCCATGGCTGTTCAAGCCCTCCAAATTTCGGAATGTTAGGCATTTATGTGCTGCCTTAGAGAAAGCACATTTCAAATTTTAAACAACTAATTCACTGATTTCTGGAACCTGTCCCTGGTATGAGAACTGCTTTTCTCTGAAGTGACTTGAAACTATTTAACAGGTTCAACCCTGAAATCTATGGATATATTTTGTAACAACCCATTATTAAACTCTTACTGATTTTGATACTTTTCCATTTAGTTGTCTGGCTTTTATTAGATAGATGCCTTTGAATATACAAATGATGACAATCTGATCTTTAACTTTCTAGTATGTGAACGCCCCTTCCTGTGACAGATTGCACTAAGCAGAACTTCAGAGTTGGGAACAGAGGTACTCATCGGGGACAGTAGATCCCCCACTGGAGAGTTGTCCTGTTTGTTTTGCCAGAGGGCACATAGAATCATCAGGGAGGGACAGTAGTGTGGTCACACTGCAAGCCCCTCTCCTCCATTTCTTCATCCTGTTGGGATTTTGGATACACACAACACGCACACACACACACACATGCCTAGTCTGTTTTTCAAGCTACCAGGAACAGGATCCAAACTTCATGGTTGGCCATGTGGGATCCAGCTCCCTTAACCATAAGGCCATGGAGCCAACCCTAGAGCGCTCCTAGTCTGAATGAGTATTTACATTTAAAGAATTACTTATTTAGTTATATCTATTAATATTTTTAAATTTGCTATAGGGCACATGTACTCAACGAGAGAGACAGAGAAAGAGAAAGTCACCAGGTCCAGGACTCGATCCACAGTTGGCCATGTAGGAGTCCAGCACCTTAACTACCACACCACTTGCTGGTCCACTGAATATATTTTACTAAAATTGCTGTCTCTGTGGTCTGATAGTTGAGGCAACTAGGTCCTACATGGCCAACCATGTGGTTCAAGTCCCAGATCCAGCAGCTTGGGATACATGCCTAGCACATATCCCATGTTTGTCCAAAATCCCAACAGGATGGAGAAATGGAGACAGGGTTACAGAGTGATCGTTCCCCAATGGGGTGCTTTCTCCTTTCCTTCTCTTTATCTCTCTCCATCAAGCATACACGCCCTCTAGCAATCAGCCAATTAATCAAAGTACATTTTTAGGATTGTAAAACTGTTTTTAAAACATCAATTTTTATTTATTTATTTATTTTTACTCTCTCCATGGTCTTCACTAGCACCAATGGGGGTGGTAGGGATGCAGCCATTCCTTACTGAGAGAAACTCCAGTGGAGAGGGAGACCTGTCCAGTTAAACTATTCCCAGTGACACTGGAAGACTGTTACTTCATACCCATGGCAAGTGGGGACAGTCCCTATGTCCCGCTGGCCCTGACGACATAACACTCTCCTCCTTCCCTCAGAGACTCGTGGAGAGTCGCCGACAGCAGATCCTGCGGGAGTTTGAAGAGCTTCATCGGCGGCTGGATGAAGAACAGCAGCTGTTGCTGTCACGACTGGAGGAGGAAGAACAGGACATCCTACAGCGACTCCGAGAAAACGCAGCTCACCTCGGGGACAAGCGCCGGGACCTGGCCCACCTGGCAGCTGAGGTGGAGGGCAAGTGCTTACAGTCGGGCTTCGAGATGCTTAAGGTTCGACCTTTGCCCCTGCGTAGCCCCGCGGGTCGAGGGCAGCCTAGCTTTGCACAGGCCGTTCTGTCAGCCTGGGGTGCTCAGCCCTCTGCTCCACCTCCCTAGACCCAGTTTTCTTCCAGGCATAATCAGAGGACCTATTTTTTCTTTTTTTTGAGAGAGAGAGATTTTTGCTATAGGGTTTGTGCACTCGCTGTAGAGACGGAGAGAGACAGAAGGAGAGAAATCACCCCCCGGGGGGAATGACCATGCCCCAGTCCCTTTGCTTCCATTCTCCTCTTGGGATTTTGGGCACACACGCACATGTGCCTGGCATGAGTTTCAAGCCACTGGGTCCGGACTCGAATCGTGGTTGGCCATGAATCCAGCACCTTAACCACTATGGCACCCGCTGGACCCTGGAGAATCTGTTTCTACAGGAAGGCCTCTCTGATTTCTCCCATTCTTTCTAATCATTTTTGTGTTCTCATGTCTTGTCAAAAATTATGTGCTTACTTTGTACCAAAGAAAAAATTCACTCTTTTGACAGGAGGGAAGTCTAGTGTGAATTAGTGAAAAAACTATTCATTAAAATTTTGTAAATGCAGTTACCATTATTTTACTTGATTTACTTAAGTGTTCAAAAAGCATAGAAATATATATTTTAAAGGATACTTGCAACTATGTGTAAATGACATTGTTTTCATATGTAAATGATGCCTCTAAGAATGTTGGAAATAGTTTGTGCACTTAAGCAGATGAATGGTGTTAGCTAGGCTGTAGAAACCGTATTTCTTACCAGAGATCAGACGACCCACATTTAAAGCAGCAAGGCTTCATTGTACACTTATTTGCATGTAATGTATCGCTTGGTATTTATTCCTGTGTCCTTTCATGTACGTGTGTTCTGCCTTCCACATTAAACTGGGAAATTCTGTGGGACAGAGATTTGTCTTCTTTGTCTTCTGAACCCCAAGTATTCCTAAATCAGGATTGGCACACTGTTGTCGATATTTATTAACCAATGCCAGACAGGAGTTATAAACCGCAGTGGGAAAGTGTGATTCGTTCCTATACCGCCAGTCTGGAGCCATCTACCCTGGTCCTCAAGGAGACTGAGGCGTGTGGTTGGTACTTGGGGGACAGAGTAAAAAGCAGACACAATCCCTGTCCCTTGCAGGGAGCTCCCAGTGTCCTTGAGGAGCAAAGACACACACACAGACCCCTGGGAGGTGATAGACTACCAAGCTTCACGATGACCGAAAGTTGAACATGGGGTTAGGTCGGAAGAGATGCTCTCAGTCCCTCTGGACTCTTCCCCTGCATTGTGACCTTCAGTTTCCCTGTGCCTGTTTCGTAGATCTAGAACTTTGGGGAGGAAGGGGAGCCTTTGCCTTCAGGACCCTTGAATACCAGGACCAATGTTGCTTTTTTTTCTCCTTCCCTCTAGGACGTCAAAAGTACCCTGGAAAAGTAAGTGATTCTTGCATCTCTTTGAGTGAGTTAGGTCTTCACTTAGAGACCGGGGGTGCAGTGAGGAGTTGGGAAGTAAGCCGTGTCTGCAGGATATGGGGAAGTCCACTGCATCCACGGAGCCAGGCAGAGAACAAGGCCTCGGGATAATAATTCCTTCTCCTTACCCTCTGAACATCGGGATTTCTTTGGTGGAGAGAGTGATAATGTAGAACCAGATTTAACTGGTGCCTGTGGGTAGAATTAAGTCCAAACAGGATGACAGGAGGAAGGGGTAGGAAAGCAGGGAGGGCGATTGTCCATTTCCATGAGATAAGAGAATACCCCCAGAAAATTCCTGGGCAAGATAAGAATCTGGTCAGGGAACCATGAGATCCCTATAGATTAATAAAATAAAGTAGTAGGTGAGCTTTCGTCTTCAGAGACAAGGCACAGAGTGGGAAGCTGGAGAGTTTCAGTTCCTCCCTAAGTATGACAACATCTGAATCCTCACTCTGCTGGAGCTTCCCCCTGACCCTGCCCTTTCTCCCCTATCTCCCCACCCCTCCTAGATGTGAGAAGGTGAAGACCATGGAAGTGACTTCAGTATCCATAGAGCTGGAAAAGAACTTCAGCAATTTCCCCCGACAGTACTTTGCCCTAAGGAAAATCCTTAAACAGCTAATTGGTGAGTTGTTCCCAAAAGGAATCTAGCAGAGAGGACTGCCGGCGAGAGGAAAGGGCTTAGGTCCCACTTTACCTCGGCCTCAGTTCCTCCACCTGTCACCTCCGTGCCCACACCCGCCCCAGTCACAGACTCAGTGAGAAGCCTCACGTGTCGTCTTCTCTTAGGTCCACACTTACTCTAAGTGGAGACTCAGGTTAAATAACTTGCCTAAGAGGTCAGCTAGTGTGCCTGTATGATTTACCTCACTGGGACAATCTCTAAAGCAAAGGGAGAGTCATGAATACGCAGGGAGAACAGTCGTTCCAGGGAAACCAGAGCCATGCCAGGGAAACAGACACGCTCCCCCTCCTAGCCATGCTGTCTTGTGCTGTGTCCTTAACACGCCCCATCCCTTCTGGTCTCCTGACTGCTTCTCCACAAAGTGAGATCAGCGATGATGTCAGAGGGGTGAGGGGAGCGGACCAGGTGGGAACTAGGCAACAGCCTCTGCAGAGTCAAGAGGTCGTTCTGTTCATGTAGGGTCGGGGAGAGAAGGAAGCCGCTGTGCTGTCCCCTCCCGTGGGCAGCGGAGCTGAGAGTTAACCTTTAGGGCCAGGCTGTGTGAGGCAGGCCGGAAGAGTGAGGCGGGTGTTGAGCTATTCCCATCCTCATCTAGCTCCCCACTCTGGCTTCTCCCGCCAGTGGATGTGACCCTGGACCCCGAGACCGCTCATCCTAACCTTGTCCTGTCAGAAGATCGCAAGAGCGTCAAGTTCGTGGAGACAAGACTCCGGGATCTCCCGGACACGCCAAGGCGGTTCACCTTCTACCCCTGCGTCCTGGCCACCGAGGGCTTCACCTCGGGGCGGCACTACTGGGAGGTGGAGGTGGGCGACAAGACCCACTGGGCGGTGGGCGTGTGCCGGGACTCCGTGAGCCGCAAGGGCGAGCTGACGCCCCTCCCCGAGACTGGCTACTGGCGAGTGCGGCTGTGGAATGGGGACAAGTACGCGGCCACCACCACACCGTTTACCCCTCTCCACATCAAGGTGAAGCCCAAGCGGGTGGGCATATTCCTGGACTACGAGGCCGGCACGCTGTCCTTTTACAACGTCACAGACCGCTCCCACATCTACACCTTCACCGACACTTTCACCGAGAAACTCTGGCCCCTCTTCTACCCCGGCATCCGGGCCGGCCGGAAGAATGCGGCCCCGCTGACCATCAGGCCCCCGACAGACTGGGAGTGAGGGGTCGGGATGTGGGAATAGTCGGGGTGAGGCAGGGTCAAGCTATGGGCCTTCCTGTGTCCTGCTGGAACGTCGTGTCTGCTGGTTCCAGCCCTGAGTCGTCTCGGAGAAACACCGGGTTTTCTAGGATGGTCTGTGTGGAGGAGCAGGTAGGACTGGGCTGAGAGAGCACAGCTGTGTCCCCCTCCTGTCGGGAGAAGCTGATTCTCAGGGGATCGTCTCCCCTGAAGCCCGTCAGGGTTTCTGTCACTCAAGGATGGGTTGGGCAGGAAGGGGAGAGGCTTTTCCAGAAACAGTCTATGGGAGGGTCTAAGTTGCTCAAACTGGAGAAGAAAACAGAAACCCCTGTACATCCTTTTAGGGGATTCTCTGACCCAGAATAGTCTTGTTTCTTGATCACAGGGTCTGCGTACCCCTACACTGAGAGCATGAGTGGCAGCTGCTCTCGTGGGTCTAGAAGTCGAGTTTTCCTGAAGGCAGGGTTTGGGCATCAAGAAGGGTAGAAGGAAGGTTAGAGAAGGGGCTAGTGGAGCAATTCCTGGAGACGGAGAGGTCGGTTTCCTTGGTCTCCTGTCCCCATGGTAAGGTTGCCGTTGTGAGTAAGGGAGGCCAGAGGCAGGGATGCAGGGAGGAGAGAGAAGCCAGGGCCCTGCCTCCACCTTCAGCAGAGTGGGCTCATGGCCTGCCTGCTTACGGTTGTTGACTCCAAGAAGTCGCTCGCCGTGGCCCTCCCCAGAAGTGGGGAGGAAAAGACACTGCAAGACACAGCTACTCTCGCTGTTTTCCCAAGGGAACATGGAAAGGAGAGAGTCGGTCTAGAGGAAGGACAAAGGTATTTCTGTCCACAGCCCAGGCCTTAAGGTTACTAAGTAGCTACTCTCAGCTTGTCAGCCTGTTACGGGGCTGAGGTGTGCAAGCAGGAAGGAAGAAGAGTAATGGAGTCTTTCACCCTGAATTCAGGGTAGCAGAGGGTGGCCGCACAGAGGCCAGGTCGGCACCTCCCTTTCCCAGGTGCGCCTGGCCTGGAGCTCTGGCGTTCGGAGCCCGCCTTGTGCTGGTCTTCACCATCCTTCACCCTTTGCCATTCCCATTTTCAGAGAATGTAAATCATTTCAATGTTGGGCCAAAATAAACGACCTGTAGGGTACACACGTCAAAACGGCAAAGCAATGCATGCCAAACCAGACCACACGGCTTGGATTATCTGCTGCTTGGGTCATCTTCACAGAATGAGACAAACTGCAGTTAATGGAGGGAACAGAAAGTCCCTCCACCCCTTCACAGGGCTTTGTCCAGACTCCTCTTACCTTTGTGCCTTGACTGTGGTTCTTTGTGGCGAGATACTTTGGTTGGTAAAAATAATATGGAACAAAGGATCCACTGAAGTGATCTCTGTGTTGTGTAGTGATTTGGCAATGACCTTGTGTTCATGTGTGAGAATCACTGGGTGTTAAAAATGTACATTCTGGGACCAGCAGATGGCGTAGTGGTCACATTGCTGGACTCCCATGTGGCCCACCATGGTTCAAGTCCCAGACTTGAAACTCACACCTAGCACTTGTGCACATGTTCCCAAGATCCTGGGAGGAGGAAGGAAAAAAGGGGATTGTGGCAAGGCCATCCCTCCTGGGGGGATAATTTCTCACTTTTCCTCTCACTCTCTGTCTTTCTCCAGGGAGTACACATACCCTAAGGTAAACATACACACACAAAAGTTATCTTCCAGGCCAGCCCTAGCCTGGGCAGTTGGGGCATCTGGATCCCACATGGCTGACTACTCAGCTGGAGTCCCAGAGCAGTGCCTTGGAAATGCATGCCAGGCGTGTTTGCTTGTGTGCCCGAAATCCCAGTAGGAGGGAGAAGGCATTATGGCATGACCATTTCCCATAAAGGGTGCTTTCTCACTTTCCATCTCACTCACTGTTTCTCTCTTTAGTGAGCCCATACCCTCTGGCTTTTTCTTTTTTTTAATGCATGTTCCTAGGTCTCACCCTTGATCCAGACTTAGGGTGGGACTGGGCTTCTGCATTTTAAACACACTCTTCTCACTTGTTTGAGAAACTCAAGAAGACATTTCTGCCAATTTCCTTCCTCTGAACAACCTGGTTCTCTGCCCCACCTGCAGAGAGTCTAAGAGGTCTAAGCTCCCCGGAGTTGCGCTGTTCTCCCTATGCCCCAGTGTTCATCCATTTTTCTGCCCCTCCAGCTCCTCCCTCTGCTTCTGACCTCATTTTCCCCCCCTCCAGCTCCTCCCTCTGCTTCTGACCTCAGGAACCGGCAGTCATTGACTGTGAGTCAGAGAGAAATACAGAACACTAGACAGAACTAAGGGGAGGTGGGAGGTGGGAGTGACAAGTGGCTGGCTCTGTGGGGAGGGGCAGGGGACGCTGTCCGCCGGTTTCTAGGCTGTAGCTAAGACTTGGCAAGTGAGGATCGCCTCCTCTGCCTGGCACTGCGGTAAGGAAGTGCGATCTTGGCTAAGTGGAAAAGCGGGAGTAGGCTGTGCTTTCTGAAGACCGGGAGCCCTCTTCCTCCCGCCAGCGCAATCACGGCCCTTTCCAGTTTGACCCCCGTCAGCACCCGTGTTTCTTGAGTGTAAAGCCTCTGTCGTTTCGGCCTGTAGATCTTCCAAACATCTGCCTTTGGCTTCAGCAGGGCAGGGGAGGGTCTAGCTGGATTTAAATCCCACATCACCACCACCTCCCGACCCGTCTACATGGAGAGCGGTCGTCTCCTGAAAAGGTGTGGCAGCTGCC